GATGCCCAAAATCACTTTCTGGATTTAAGAGCAACCCAAGATCTACCCTGTCCCTTACTCAAAGCCCTGCTCCATTCACTCCATTCCCCTCTCCCTGCCCTGCCATTGCTCACTTTCCCCTATACTCACTCACTTTGCTGGGCTGGGGCAGGGAGTTGGGTTTGAGAGGCTCTGGGTGGGGGCCAATGTAGGAGAGGCTCTGAGCTGAGCCAGGCTCAGGGGGTTGAGGTGCATGAGGGGGTGATGGGTGAAAACTCTGGGAAGGCGTTTGGGTGCAAAGGGGAGCTCGGGGCAGAGGCAAAGTGGTGGGATGAAGGAGGGGGTTTCAGGATTGAGATATTGGAAATAATAACAGATGTTAGACAGAGTCAGTATTTGAAGCCACAGATGTAATATTCAGTTAACCTAAGTAATTTGACTAATTTTTAGAAATCTTAATGCCTAGATACAACATTACATAACATTTGTAATCCAAGGCAGTCTGATAGTGACAATCCTGAAATTTCCAGCGCGACAGTTTTATCTTCCAAATTTTTTAAACTGTGATTATATTTCCAAGGATAATGTCCCTTTCAAAGGACTTTAAGTGTCTGTGTCTGTGATTGGGTGTGGGTGTGTGTGGGGGGGAGATGTTTTAGTTCATTATGAATGTACAGAACTGACTGGATACGTGTTTCCCTTTAGTCCAGATTAAGTAGATGTCAAACAATTTGTATAATTGAGTATAGATCTAGCAGTGGCATAGCCAGAAAGGGATAGTTGGGTGGGCCCTGACTTCAGATGAGTGAGCACTGATGGTGGGTAGGCGTTGGGGAGTATGGCAGGAGAGATTGGGCCACCAACCAGCCTTGGAGAGGATAAATTGGGATGGGAGGGGACCCCTAGAGTGGGGTTGGGGCATATGTCCCACTGCACCCACCCAGCGCTGCTGCTGGGGAGCACAGGGTCAGGGTGCTTGCCCCGCTGTGCCCTGCCGTGCTCCATGGACACTCCATAGTAAGGTCAGGGGCTTATAAGCCCCATGTACCATTATTGCTCCTTAGCAAGTTTGTCGGGTGGGAGGAGCAAGACAAGTGTCCTAACCCTGGATCTTTGCAGGAGCACTGGGTGGTCAGAGCTGGTGTGGGTTGTTGGGCCTTGATGATAACCACTCAGACCCCCACCCTTAGTGTGCCACTGATATATACCGTAAAATCTCGAGTATAATGCACACTTTTTTCCCGGGAAGCCACTGATATATACCATAAAATCTCGAGTATAATGCACACTTTTTTCCCATTTTTTAAGGGTTAAAACCGGGGTGTGCATTATACATAGGAGATAATTTGTAAAGCTTTTACCTAACCATCCCCACCAGGCTCCTGGACAAGGGAGCTGCCCCGTCCGCCGGCTCCTCATCTTGTCCGGAGCCTGGCTGACCTTGCCCCCTGCCCAGCTGACCTCGCGCTTGCCGCAGGGGCTTCCTGCTCAGCTGCCGGCGCACCACGCTGAGCTCGCGCCTGCTGCAGGGGCCCCCTGCTCAGCTGCTGGTGCACCGTGCTGCTGAACAGGGGGCTCCCGCAGCAGGCGCGAGTGGGGCAGCTGGGTGGGGCATGCGGGAAGGGGCCCCACAGCCCGGTGCATGAGCTCAGCCCGGTGCATGAGCTCAGCCCAGTGCATGAGCAGCTAGGCAGGGTTTCAAACTCTGCTGCCGGCTCTCCTGTGCTGCGGGCGCTCTGCCCGGGCGAGCCTGCAGGTGGGAGCGGGACCGTAAAATCATGAGTATAATGGGGGTGCACATTATAGATAAGAGCTCAGTTCATTCCAGAATTCTGATGTTTAAAAGGTAGGTGTGCATTATACATAGGTGTGCATTATACTAGAGAGTTTACGGTAAGCTTTCTTTAATAGTAACAGCAGTAATCAGAGAGAGATGTATGAGAGGGAGATATTAAAATCTAGAGAGCTTGAGATTTATTATTTAATCAAAGCATAGTAAAAATAGACATGTTCAACGTGTGGGGATGCATACCAGTTTAACAGGACAGAGAATGTGTGTTCACTTAACAGATTTCTCAAGCTACAGTTTTCTTTTAACTTTATCAAAAACAAAAATGGATGTTATCTATAGTTTTACAGAGGAAAAGGGACATTTTCCCCTCCCCCAGCAAAGCAACACACAGATTAACAACAACAATGGAGCGAGTATTTCCAGTCAAGGCTTAAAATGAAATATAATGAACAGAGAATAACCAGAAATAAAAACAATGTCTACAAATAATCAAGGGTCAAGTTTGGAACATCTGACTCACTGTGAAATGCATGCTCAGAAGCAATGATGGGTGGAAAGGCAGTGCATGCTGGATTGTAACAGTCTGCTGTGACCAGAGATGAGGCCTCTTTCTCCTTCTCCTTTAACTGATGTTTAAAGATTGCAAAGTATTATGAACTAAGTCCATATTGTTACTACAGTGTTAAAGAGTGGTAAATGGGAGCTGAGATTTGTCCTAAGTTGCACTACTGAACTCATATAAAGCATGTGCTGGAAAAATACCTTAGTAAGTGCAAACTAAAAATCTCATGTTCCAAATGACTTTCCAGTGGTGTACTACTATCAAGGGGAAAATATATTTACAAATTTACAAGTGTTTGGAAAAACAAATCGCTTCTCGATGTTTGTTCATGAGAAGCAAGTTCTCTGATCAGTTCCACATAGCTTAACATAGTCTACTTTTTCAGTTTCAGTTATATTTGAATCTCCTTATTAGTATGTGGGAATTGTACATTATATATTACTGGACAAAGACTTGCATCAGAGGACTTGATTAATGGATTTGATGCCTGTTTACCATTGACAAAGGTTATTTTTAAAATTCCCTTGTGACTTTTTCAAAAGTGGCATGGAAAAGTTAGGGTCCTAAGTTAACTTTGTTTCCCAAGAACATTTAGTGTGTTTTAAAATACTTTGTCTTTCTTTTTTGCTTTATTGATCTATCGAATGATTTGAGTCCGTGTTTTGCATCAAGTTATACTTAATAGACAGTTTTTGAAGTTCAGAAAAAGCTTTTATACAGGAGAAAACTGAATAAACTGGAGAATGCATACAGTTTGTCTGGGGATCAACAAAGCCTTAAACTTAACTTCATGGTGCTTCAGCCCAGCATACAGTTTTGGAACAAACAAGGTAACACTTGCTATTCAATGGGAAACTTTTTGCTGGGCAGAACATTCCATTCTACAGAATGGAGTTATCCATTGTAGACATTATCTTTTTAGTTCACATTTCAGAGTTCCGGTATGTAGGCTTTTGTTAACCATTCTTCTCAAATACCAGAAACAACATTATTCTGATTTTAGAATATTGAAAACTTTTTGCTTTCATTGTCTTCTGGATATCATTCCACAATAGAACACTGAGATGGAATATATTAACAACGTATTCACCATGCAATGAAGTTTTAAGTTAGGTATAAACAATTACAAAAGTAACTCTTCTGAGCCCTCCTCTTCCCTTCCCCCTTTGCCTACATGGAAACGGAATGGTTTGTAATAGCAATGGCAAACCCATTACTGCCTTATCACCATTTGCACAATTTCATGTAAGTTTTGTGTGTCACTGCTTAGCATGTTTGTATATTTTAAAAAACAATAGATTCGCTTTTATAGCCAACACAATTGCAGATCATCATTTGCAGCACTCTGCAATTCAATTACCCCTTGCTGGTGCGTGAAGCAGAAGAATGTCTAGGTATACCTTAAGGAGGCTCGGTATCCCCATATGAAGCTGAAGATATATAGCATACATTAGTGTGTTACACTTGCAGGTTCTGTCCTACTTTAGTCTTATCCTCAGCTTGTCATGTTATTACACTTCTATATGATAAATTCATATAAAACACACATTATAAAACTTACCTGGCATTGTTCAGGTCCTTCAAAGGAGGAGGTTAGTGGGGGTGGGTGTCCAGGAGTCAGAGTAAGAGTTCAGGGGCTCAGCACAGGTAATGGGGAGGTGCAGAAGTGAGGGCAGAGGGCTGTGTGTGAGGGGGCTCAGTGCAGGGTTGCAGGAGTCAGGCCCAGGGTAGAACATGGGAGTTCAGAGCAGAGGTGGGAGGTCTGGGGGGGAAGGGGGCTCACCAGGTCTGCCTATGCTTGCGAAGATGGTGCTACAGTTGCTGGCTAGCCCCCTGGCCCTTACCATTTAGGAGGAGTTCTTGAACAAATGGACACGCAGAAGGACGGACTCATTGACAGATGCACAAACTCTCTAAAATATATATTTTAGAGGTGTCTGAGTCTGTCCTTCTGTGTGTCCATTCGTTCAAGAACTCCTCCTAAACAGTAAGAGCTAGGACCACCAAATTTGGAATGCAGCTTCCTCTTATGCTAACTTAGAGCAAGGTCAGGGCAGGAAAACAGGAAGTGCCTGGAATTTGATTGGTTTCTTTAACATGGAAAGGGAGAGCTGATCGGAGGGACACGATACTGCCCAGTCATCACAGGGGGGCAGCATGCGTAAGCAACAGCTGTACTACAGAGTAACCACTAGGGAAGCCACACCAGGAAGAGAGTGGCTAGCCAGGAAATGGGGCTTACCATCTTGCTCGCCACTAGGCCTTGGCCCCAGCACTGGACCCTGGTGCAGGGAAGCCCCACCACAGCCCTCAGGGCCCACAGGTGGCTCCCCCCAGCATGGCCAGGCTGTCCTGTGTGGCCTTGCCAGCAGGCCTGCACAGCCTCTTCCCTCCTGCCTAGGCTTGGGGAGCCCTGCTGGGAGGCCTCCTTGTGCCCCTCCCCTCAGCTCCTGGGGATGCCCCCACAGGAGGTCTCTGCACCACTCACTACTGCCCCTATTCCAGGCCTGGGAAACATGGGGGCAGGAGGGGTGCACGTATGTTCATGTGTGTGCACACACATCAGATATGTTTCACTGGAAATGATATAATATGGCTGAACTAAATAGGGATATATATTTAAAGATTATGTTTGGTGTTAATACACTTTTGTTTCTGACACTTTAGGACACAGATTTGAAAACTGGTCTGGAAGTTTTGGATTGCTGTTTTCTGCGTAAAGGAAGTGAACAATCAGAATCACAAGAGGAGAAGATAAAGCAAGTGAATGATGAAGAGAATGAAAAAAAGGCTGAAAATGAGGGGGAAGAGACAGAAAATATAGATTCTAGCACAGAGGTAAGTGTAATGATAGAAAAAACCCACACAACTCTCAGACCTGGGGTACATGGTTTATTGTAGCTGTCCTACTGTCATTCATTCTGTGAATGCTATTAGTAAAATGGCAATGTCTGGATGATACTCTGTAAATACGACATTACCATTCTCTTTCTCAAAAGTTTAGGCTATTTTTACAAATATGGTTTCCCCTTGAAACGTCCTAATCCTTTCAAAATTAGTCATCTTAAAATTAGTTTTTATTCTATTCTATTTACTCTAGTTCTGAAGACAGCAGACTTCCTCTCTACAGTTTTAAAGTTAAGCACATCAATTTGAGACAAGGATGCTAAATGATGCTGATTTCACTTTACTGTGGTTTAGGTAATGATAGATGGAGTTTTATACCCACAGGATTAGTGTTTAATGTAGGATTGGTCCCTAGGTCCTTAGAAGATTACATTTTGGAAGACTTGGTTGCCAATATCCAAGCATTGTTGTAGGTTGAAGGGGGAGGGGGATTACATTATGGTTGGTACAGTCTACAGTTACACTAAAGCATGGATTGAAAATCAGTAGGGCACTTTTGGCCTGTCTCCCTGCAATCTGTAATAAAAGGTTGCTCCTGAGAATTTAATTTCCAGTTTTCTTGCCCGCAGTCCTGCCAGTCACTACCCAGACTGTTTTCAACCTTCACTGTACTTCGAGGCTTCAAACGTGAAGGGTAGTGGGTGCAGCGTCATCAAAGAGGAAACACAGTTGCTCCATTTGTGGGTCAAGTGTGATGCTTTTAGTTGTGGGATCATTTTGCCCTTTTTAGCATTTCCTTTTCCAGTTGAAGGATCCATGCAGGGGCAAAAGGTCCAGGGCATCAGCCTGTGTTGCACTGTTTTAAAGCAGCAGCAAATACACCTTTTGTACTTCTGTCAGCCACATCAGGGGATTGAGGGATACCTTAAATTTTAATGGGATTACAGTGTTCCACCTAAAATGTCAACTAGAAATGCCACTAACTGCTAGTGTGCCATCCGCTCGATGGTGGGGATGTGATAGAAAGCTGAGAATGCAATATGGAAAACCCTAACCCATACTCTTGCTCAAAATTACAAGCCTATTGAATCTGCATTAGCTGACTTGTACTCATCTCTATCCAATGGCTAGAGCCAACCGAAACAAGAGTGGGAGGAAAAAGTGGTGAGAAGGAGCTCTCTCTCTCTCTGTGTTTAGCAGAGAAGGGGTTGTGTTCCCATCTCCCATAGCCCTTACTTCACTCCTTGTTGGTGTCTAAAAAAACCTGCACTTTTCAAAATGTTTCTGTTTCCTCCACTACAGAGCAACAGAAATTCCATTGATTCCTCTCCCCTCTTGGAGGACTATTTACTGCTCCTGTCCTCACAGACAGAAAATGCACTAGAGAGAAATGTGAAGTCACAGATGTATTAGCAATGGATTATAACTGATACAGTAGGATAATTGGACTAGCTCAGAGATAGGCAAATACTGGCCCATGGGCTGGATCCAGTCTGTCAGGGTTAGTTCCTGGTGGGCCTCCACTGCTATATTTATCTGTCTTTTTGCAGGTATTGGGCGATTGCAACTCTAATTGGCTGCAGATCAGCATTCCTGGCAAATGGGAGTGGCAGGAAGTGGTGTTCCACTCTGCGCCGCTTCCCGCTGCTCCCATTGGCTGGGAATGGCGATTGGCTGCCAGTGAGAGCTGCGATTGTCCGATACCTGCGGAGGTGCAGGTAAATATAGCAGCGGTGGTCCACCAGGTGCAGCATCGCCTTAGTAACCAACCCTGAGATAGACCATTTAATTAAAGAATAAGCAGAGAGCATGTCACCAAATCAGTTCAGTAATTTATCTGAACATTATTGTAAAAAGCTGTCTGATGGTTATCTTTTAGTATAGTCATTATCTGCTTCCGGAATTCGTTAAAATTACATAATTTATTACTTGAAAACTGTCTAAAAATTTCACTTCTTCCCAGCACCCCAGATAATATCTATATAAAAGAGGATACTCATGCTTTTTCCAGTTTATTACCAAATGTTGACAGTATCATCACAGTCTGTATTTAGTCACTGGGGGCCTATTCATTTCTAACATTTTTTTTTTTAAAGCAACAGATCTTGAAAAAATGTCCATGTTTCTTTTAAGGGCATAATTGAAAACACCAGTTCTACCTCCCTGTCTACAGCAGGGCTAGCACAGGATAATGCTGTAGAAGATATATGGCAGGACTTTCTTTTATCACCTGAATTACAGGTAAGTGTAGTAGAGAACTTTGTGTATATATATTGTTCTTCTAAAAATACACAAACGTCTGACTTGTGCAAGTGCATCTGAGATTATTTGCTTACTGAACTGCCGTCTGATAGTTTCATTTATAAATGAAACTATGTAGCATTGAATTGTGAGGACACCTTGCTATACACTTCATAGTTCGTGAGGTGGAGAATATTGCTGGCTCCATCCAGATGATGAACACAGGCATATGTCAATTGACAAACATATCCTTCCTACTATCTCCATAAATAGCCATTAGACAGAACTTCATTACCTAATAATTTTCTTTTCTGGTAGAGCTGACCAGTTATATGCTTGTTACTTTATTCATAATACTTTTCTGTTTCAAATCCAGCTTTCTAGCTCCAAACTTGGTTTTGTAACTGGACCGATTGTAGGTCTAATTTTGCTGTTATGTGTTTGTAAATCCCACTGTTTGCAAAGGTGGTTGCAGTTACATAACTGAAAGCAAAAAACAGCCCTTACAATGTGCAAAATATTGGGACAATCATAACTTCAGAATGCAAACAGATCAAATAATCTGTGAACAACAGATTGTGATCCTGCAAAATATTAAAACCTCATTATTAGATAAAACGGTCTCTCCCCATTTCTAAGCTAATAATTTATGCTTTAGAAATCCTATTTAATGTTTTATTAAAAGTGTTATATTTATGTACCATGATGTATTCACAATCAAGCATTGTATATAAATTAATCTGTAAAGGAATCAGAGTTTATCTAAATTCTCAAACATACTTTACATTTGAAAGTATATTTAGTGTCTAATGTTCCATGAATCTTACCAATATTTGGCAGGAAACAAAAAGATTAAAAGGGGGACTTTTTTTTAATTTTGCATTTAATATTTGTGTGCAGTGAGGGTGCAGTGTGGTCTTTCCGGTTTGCCTGGGTCTTTTGCAGCAAGGGTCCGTCCCCCCCAAAAAAGTAAGAAAATGGGGTTTAAAATGATAAAATTATCCAGGGGCACATACTTTAAACTACGTAGCTTTTTTTTTTTTTTTTAAAGTGACAAGCTTTTAGTTAGTCTTAAGACTATTTATTTTTTGAACTTGGATTTGATAAAAATCAAACCATCTATTCTACAGTGAGTGTTGGACTCTAAGTCAACAAACATGACATTGCAATTTTTGTAATTATTTTGTATTGTTAAAAGCTATGACACATAACCAAAGCCTGTGTACCCTGCAACAGTGTGGACCTAACTGCTATGACAAGGTCCCTGGATTCTTTGGAACTCTAGCTTTTGAAAATTGGAAGTTATGTAGCACCTTCATTTATGTTGAAAGATAAAATATTGATAATGAATTCAGTATGAAAATGAGTAATTCAATTTTGCTTCCCTGTATTTTCTGTTAGCTGGAAATTTGAGAAGTTTTATATATAAATACGTGTGTGTGTGTATATAAATATAAAATTTTGAAGGTGTTGATAGAGAGTGAACTGGAGGTTTTGACGACAGGAAAGAGGACAGTTGGAGGTTTTAGTGGATGTTATGGAAGGCAATTTAAAGATGTCTTCACACTGCATAGTTAATCTGAGCTGTAACTTCATTGTTGCCCCAATACCTTTCCAGTCCACCCACACACCCATCTGACTTGAGCTGTTCATCCTGATGTATAGGCTAAAATCCAAATGATGTTTTCACTCAAACTGGTACCTTGCCTGTTTCGCAGGGAGGACACAAGTTAAACTAATAGAATGTTGGTAGTCCTTCAGCACCTTCTCACAACTCACCCCAGGTACTCAGAAGGTCATATTTGTTCTCCCACCATTCAGTAGGGAAGAATCAGGGTAACCTAGCTTGCTAAAACACAAAGAGCGATGTGACAGGCCTCCAGACTCCAAGCAGTCCTAGCAACACACGTCAATATAGCACCAGTAAGCACACAGTAACTTAACTATGGCTTTTTGGTGGGGTTTGTCATGCTGGCTAGGCTCTTTAGGGTATCGATCACCAGGGACAGAGAGACACCAGTTGACTAGACATGTCTTCTAGAATGATCAGTAAAATAGCTAAAGGACAGTTTAAAACTAAACAGGACAATTTATCAAGCCATTATGCTGAATGTGGTACTCTCACAGCTTGTTTGAAGCTGTTGGCACATTTGAGAAGACAACACAGTGTTGGTTAGGGATGTAAGCAACTAGTCGCTTCTCCCCCTGCCCCTTGCAAGGGGGGGGAGCCAGCTTAAAAGCCGGTTCTCCTCCCCCCCCCCCCCCCAGCACTGTCTCTGCAGGAGGCATGAGAGGCAGAACAACAGACATGCTCTCGCCCAGTCTCAGATGCTGCGCCATTCTATCCTGCTAGCTCTTAATACATTTAAAAAGCAGAAGAGCAGCAGAGGTGACCTGGCACAAGCCGGTAATCAGCTCACACGGGGTCCCCCATACTGTGTTTCAGCCTTTTAAATGTATTAAGAGCATGCCTGGGCGAGGAGTTAACCCCACTGCGTCTCCCCCACATTTTGACTAGTCGATTAAACTAAATTTAACATCGCTAGTATTGGTTGCACTCTGCTGCTCATGTTTTTGTTAGTTTCACAATGATGGGGGGCTAAACACATGGTGTGGCAGCATATGCACTCCCTGTCTCAAGTGGGAGCCTCTTCCAGATTAGGACGCTGCCAGATTGGCCATGAGG